AAGAGTGAGAGAGGGATGCGGGCTCTGCATGATTCGATAGTCACAGGAAGCATTAGGAAGCTTTTCATCACTGTGGACCCACTCCACCCATCCATCGACCCACTTAACTGTCCTAAAACCACAGCATCTCACGTTACTGCTGCTCTGGAAACGAGGAAACGCTCACACAGCGACGGCGAGTGACACACACATGGCTAAACATGTGAGGACCATTAGAAGCATTTCATTCAACAGCATCCCTGCCGAGGTGGAAACACCTGCAGCGGAATGAGTGATGTTTTGATTGGATACTGTCCATGCCTTCCTTTTGTTCACTTTTCCATCACATCCACCAAAACCTACAGTTTATAACAGTTACAGTCAGGTTGCTAAATCACTATTTAACTAGTAGCTAAATCTTACAGAAGCCTTGTATAATTAGGTTCAAGGTGCCTGTCCAATTTTTAACGGCGTTGGTTTCAGAAGTATTTTTCCTGTTAATTTTTTCCCATATGGATAAAAAAAGAATTACAAAAAAAAAAATTACAAAACTTTGATTTGAAGTAAATAAATGTTAATATTTGAATATGAATTTGACTATTTGGGGAAAAATCAAACAAAAAGACAAATTAATGTCTTTAATAAGAGAGAGAACTACAATCCCCTTAAGCGTTATAAATAAAATTCTAAAAAATAAAAACAATGGAGAAATATAAAGATGTTGGGAAAAATAACTACATACAGTAGCAAGCAATATTTTTACAATAATTTCAAAAGATGGATATAGATATAACTTAAGTAGTTTGACTGGCTCAATTACGCCATTCGCAGTGTTTAATGGGAGTGGGTGGTTCTTTTGGCACAATCTATTGTTTTGATTCTCTGATTGGTGGAGACTCTTTTGTAGAATCATGGGTAATGTAGTTTTTCACCAGAAATTCAACTGTTAAACACAATTAAATATAAATTGTTAAATAATGTGAGTTAAATGGCGTTAACAAATGCATATACTATTAATGAACCTTATAGCTTCAAGAAGGTCCGTGTTTAGTTTGTAAATTATTGTTAAAAATCAATTCCTCTATGGAGAAAATGAATGGGATTTTTACTTTTGACTAGGTGGTAGAGCATTGTGTTAGCAGCGCAAAAGGTCGTGGATTCGATTCCCAAGGAACACACATACTGGTAAAAAATGTATAGCCTGAATGCACTGTAAATCACTTTGGATAAAAGTGTCTGGTAAATGCATACATTTTATTTTATTTTACTTTAATTTAAGTTAAATCTGTTTGAACAGTCTTAACTTCTGTGTGAAAAGCTTAAAGGTCAAGTCATTCCAATCCCTATAGGGACACTAAACAGAAGAATATTTCGTCTTCCATTGTAAAAACATACAGACGGTCACTGGTTAAGCCAGTGTTGCTATCACCCATCTAACATCTACACAACACGAACAGATGCACACACACAAACACAAAACAGCACATTCGGAAAGAGCACGCCACAGTTGAATAAGTGACCTTTGAAACTTCCCCCTCTCTCCACACATCGCTCCATTTATTTCCCACTCCAGTCAGAAACGCCCCAGAAAAAAAAAAGTCAGATTGCATCTCTAAAACAAGTACACTTAAATAACATCACATAAAAGGTTATTCCATCCAGTCAGATGCACTCTCGTTGAGTAACCTCTGCTGCTCTTTGGAGTGCATGTTATTTCACTGCATTCCCCCTTTAATTTGCAACACAAGACATGAGCGAGACACGGGGAGGGAGCTCATCCTCTGCCTCTTGTCACGCTGCCCAATCTGCGGCCTGTTAGGCAGTAGGCGGAAACTAATGACCAACATGAGTGTCTTCATGAGCTGTTTATTTTGCTGCATTCCCAAGACGCTGCAACAGCTGCCAAGCAAAAGCAGAAAAAAGAGAAGCCGTCTTCAGCTAGCCACACAACAACAGCGGCCTTTCAATCGCTGCGACGGCCAGCGCAACCTCTGCTTCACACGCCGCTCCAGATGTAGACCACAGGTTATCTGCTTCACCATCTCAATTATTCGTCATCTTCCTTTTCAAAGAACACTGGAGAGCTCCGGAAGTAAATATCCCATTCATTGCGACCATAGAGAAACTGATATTTAGCAATAATGCAGAAAAATTCTGTAGAAGCCACAAGTCGAAGTGATTTCAAAAAAATGTTTTATTTTTAAATCTAATTTCAGGTGCAGAATTTCACAAGATATTAATCCAGAAAAGAGATCCACCAATCAGAGTTTTTGTTTTCACAAAAATGAAAATTGCATCAGGTGATCGGCCACACACAAAAAAAAAAAAGATATAATTTAGTCTCTTTAAACCCTGAATATAACTATTTGTTTATGTATGTGCATATTTTAAAATATCTGAATTATTTGAATATTATTTAATATGATAAATATATATGTGTGTGAAGATACAATTAAAGTGATATATAGTTATATTACACATTAAAATTTTACATTTAGTTGCTATTTAAATTTATTTAAAAATATATTGATTCTAATACCCCAGGCAATGCAGCCTAGGTTAGTTTTCCCAAAGAACTACTTTATTAAAGATTTTTGAAGACCTTGTGGAAAAAAGCAGACTGGAAAAATATGGGCACTCTCTGTTGTTCTCTTTTGGGACTAGAAAGTGTTGCGAATGCTCTGCATGGCGGCCACAGCAAAGCTTGCACTGAGCGTCCTCTGGCTAGCCGTGCTATTCCTGGGTGACACAGAAAAATCCTCCTAACACGCTGCAGTGCTTTTTAAGGAATTCTGACAGGCTTGAGCCAATGGATCAAATACCACAAGCCACTTGCTGCTCCCGAGCGTCGCTCCTTCATGACTCCCAGAGCGACTTTGTGCCAGTATAATGAATGAGCCCATATCACTCTTAATCTCTGGCCGGCCGCCATCTGCCGCTGCGGTAACATGAGCGGACTCCACATTGGTCACTACGATCTCATCCTTCCGAGATTCTCGAATTGCACGTCTTAGATCAATATGAAGATCCAAAGGAACATTAGAAGCGAAAACGGGCTCATTTCAAACGGCTCTGGGCCTCCAGGTATCATCAGCGCAGCGGTAAAGGAGTCCAGGGAGTCTGTATGGAAACAACCATCCACAGAGACGATGATAAAGAGACGCATTTGAGCAAAAGACTAGTCGTTACATCTGTCCAGCGCTGAGATTGCAGTTAGATCGTCGTTCGCTGGCATGGTCCAAGCAGACAGCATGCCCTCAGACGTACAGAAAGTGTTGAGTTGTCAATCCTGACGTGACTAGATGCATCTCCTGAGTTCTAGCTCGAATCCCTGTGTTAAATCAGCCTCAGAGTTCAGCTCTGGAATGGGTTTGGAACAAATACTACAAAGCAGCACACACCATGCATACAAATTTTACACATAGGAGCCAATTAAACGGAATAATTTAAAGCAGAATTAGCCTAATTTTTCTCAGTATAATGGTCAAAATATCATCACTGCTAAATAGAGAGTTCAAAATATCAGCATCTGTAACAGCCCTATGTCTATTGACTGCAGACTGACTTTAGTCACAAAAGATGACACATTGAGTGAGGAACAACACTTTGTGGTAGAAATTTCAAAAATTCAATTCAAAGCTTTCAGGTGGAGGTTCCAAAGCTGCCCATTCATGACACTACATTTTTTTGCACAATAAATCAAACAAATGATGACAAAATGAAATGATTTGCATGATCCCGCTACCGATAATCCAAGATAATACTCTAATACTATTGTTTTGGTCATGATAAGGCACAATTGACAAAGAAAATCAAGCAATTTTTGTAATGATAAACATTTAAATCAAACCTGGCAAGCAATACAGAACGACCAATGCTAAGGATGCATATTAATGCATGTTTGGATATTAAAATGATATGGACGCAAATACAAGCACACAAAAAACTGCTGAAATTAACACTTATTTCACACTATTTACTCAAAAACCACAAGTAAAGGTTATTCATCTGATAATATACTAATTATTTATGTAAATAATCCCAAACTGGGTAAATAAAATCCCCATAATCAACCAAAATTAGCACTTATTTACTGAAAAACCACAAAGATTTTGGAATTGGCACAAATTGAGGTATTAATCTGATAAAATGTGAATTATTGACACAAATAACTTCAAAATAGCCACAGAAGATCCCTAAAACCAAATTAACACTTATTTCACACACTATTTAATCAAAATCCACTAAAAATGTTATAATTGGCACAAGCGGAAGGTATTAATCTGATCATATGCAAACCATCGATGCAAATAATCTCAAAATGTCCAAATAAGATCCTAATAAACAATATAGCTCATTTTTAACACATTCACTGATTAAAATAGCCTCTAAAAGGCACATTCATCAAATTAAAAAGCCTGACAGAGTCTAAAAATATCGATCAGCTCCTCTCCACACCCAAATAAGCAAACCAAGTCCAGCTAAACGAATGAAAACCACATGAAGGGTGCAACAGATTTGTCTTAAACTGCACTAGAGCTTTACAAACAAGGGTTAACATGATTCACTCGCTGGAAACCAACAAGTTGAGCCTGTTCAGCCAACAGAGTTTTGAATCACACGGTTCCTGTCAAGCCCTCGGTCACCGTCAAAGTAATTACTTTTTTCGTAACCGGGGTTGGGAAAGAGCTCTAACGACTCGTGTGTGCCTTCAGTGTGCAAGCGGAAGCATTTCTGGAAACGATATGGCAGTGAGTGAGTGTGTGTGTGTGTGTGTGTGTGTGTGTGTGTGTGTGTGTGTGTGTGTTAACCTGTACTGTACACTAACGCCTAAACAACAGATCCCTCTTCTGGTCACATATGAGATACTCAACCGAGCGTGAGATACTCAGATTCCATAAGAGAGAGAGAGAGAGAGAGAGGGGGCGGCGATCTGAAATCACTGTCGCCACTGCTGCTGTCAAACAAGCAGGCGAGAGCGAAATATCCTCCTTCTGCCAGGAGCCGAATCTCCAACTCACTTGATAAAGCAGCGGGCTCCTTCGAACGTATATCCTTCTTCCCATCCGGTGGGTAAATCTGAAAAAGGAGACAGGAGGACAATGAGCTTTTGCATGCAAAAAGCATCTTCTAGAGTGACTGGCTGCACATCTCTCATCGTGCCCGTGATCTGCAGAGCTGTTCAATGCCCACAAGCACTACTCGCATCCCTGTACTGCAGATCAACACGTATCATACAGCTTGTTTCGTCTCTTAATAGTGACAAAAAACTGCTAAGGCTTTCATAACGCAACTGTGGAGTGCTTTGAGGAATGCAAAGCATCTCCTGCAAGCTGTCAAACGATCCGACGAGTGCAGCAGCAATGACAGCTGTCAACCAAAAGCCAAAATCGACCATGCAACCTTTCAGAAACGTGAGCGCAGGTGTGCTGCACGCATGCAACGCGACGCGACGCGAACGCAATGACACTGCGCGCGTCGCGTTCTGCCACAGCCGCGGCTCTGCAGCTGCATTGATTGCGTTTCTCCTCATGCGGATTTTTCCCCCCCGTTAAAAAGCCTCTTACCTGGAGTTTTTCTGTGCCCTGTAATGACGGCTTCTCCCGTGACTGGATGCAGCCAGGTTGTGCTCTTCGCTTCTTCACTGTTGGGTGAGAAAAAAAGGGGAGAAGAGAAGGTGAAAAAACAACCGACGAGAGGCATTCGAGGCGAACCGAGCCCCAACTTTCCATCCCGCGGATATTTACTTGATAAAGAAGACGCGTCCGTCGCGGGTCACGCCGTAACTCCATGAGGAAGGCAGGCAAGACAGCCACTCCGGGTTCAGGTCCGCCGCCATGTCTGAGCTCTGAGCAGCGCTCGAGCCGCGCGCCTCCGACCCGCTCGCGCGTACTCGGGATTCCTTAGCAACGGTGTCCAGGGCGCAGGCGGGAGAAGCGCCTCCGGGGGGCGGGGCGTACGCGCAGACGCGATTTATATATTTCCTATTTAAATGACATTCTTATTTGCGTTAGCCAGCTTTATTTGTGTTTTGTGCTCACAGAATATAATAAAGATTGCGTTTATTTTCAATGATAAACATTGCAAAATTTTTTGGGTGTTTATTACGAATATATATTTTTTATAGCTTATTCTGTAATTTCTTGTGAATATTAAATGCAACTAAAGTTAGGTTAACAATAAATTAATTAATTAATTAATTAATTGCCTATAATATTGTTGCATGGTGCTATACATTGCTTTATAGCAAATATCCAAACCAAATAAAAACGTTTATGTACTACCTTTATAATAATAATAATAATAATAATAATGTATGTTTTTCAAATACTGCATCGATCTCTAAAACGAAAATCTAAACTTGGGTGTCAAGTATGCATTTTTTCTTTTTTCTTTTTTTTTGTAATTCAACCACAACAACATTTATTTATAAAGCACATTTAAACACAATATAAATTGATCCAAAGTGCTGTACACAGTGTACAAACAAATCTACTAATAAAAACAACAATTACACACATTCAAAGGCTAAAGAGTAAAAGTAAGATTATGCAGCTTTATTTGTGTTTTGTGCTCACAGAATATAATAAAGATTGTGTTTATTTTCAATGATAAACATTTCAAAAGTTTTTTGGGTGTTTATTTATGTAGTACCTTACGAAGATATATATATATATATATACTTTTTTTTTAATAAAAGCTATCAAAGCTTATTCTGTAATTTCTTGTGAACATTAAACGCAACTAAAGTTAGGTTAACAATAAATAAATTGCCTATAATATTTTTGCATGGCGATTGCTATACATTGCTTTATAGCAAATATCCAAACCAAATAAAAATGTATATGTACTACCTTTATTATTATAATAATAATAATAATAATAATGTATGTTTTTGATCAAATACTGCATCGATCTCTAAAACGAAAATCTAAACTTGGATGTCAAGTATGCCTTTTTTTTTCTTTTTCTTTTTTTTGTAATTCAACCACAACAACATTTATTTATAAAGCACATTTAAACACAATATAAATTGATCCAAAGTGCCAAAGTGCGTGTACAAACAAATCTACTAATAAAAACAACAATTACACACATTCAAAGGCTAAAGAGTAAAAGTAAGATTTGCATCTAGACTTCAAAATGTCCAGAGAAGGAGCAGATCTCACATGATAGGGGAGACCATTAAAGCTTGGGGCCAGTCACAGAAAAAGCCCGATCACCCTTTGATTTGTACCGACACCGTGGCATAGTTATAGGAGCAAGTGACTCGAAGATCTAAGCGCATATAGCAGGACAATATGGCACAAGAAGTTCAGAGATATACCTTGGTGCACAACCAGACAATGCCTTATAAACAAACAGAAGGATTCTAAAATCAACCCTGAATTTAAGGGAAAGCCAGTGATAAATGTGAAATATAAAGTTAAAAATAAAGTGTAACAACAAATTCAAAACCTTTATCTTTGGTGTCTTAATTATTGTCTTTCAGTGTGAAAATAATAAATCATAACAGTGAACAGTAAATACATAATTCACAGTTTCTCCTCCAAAATATTTGAACAACATTGCAATCAATAAAACAGACCGTTTTTGATCATCAGAAACAGAAAGAGCATAATTCAAATCAAAATATTTATGACTCGAGATACAAATGTTGACAAAAAAACATATTAAATAGACAAGTATTAAAGTATTTATTGTTGCTTTGCCATCAGCGAGCGACATTATTACAATCATGACAACCACTATATAAATGGATAATAATTACAAAAACTAAAATAAATAAATAACAGCACAGTGGAGGGATTTAATGGGGGGGGGAAAACAACGTAAAGTCAAAACAACATGTAAATGTAAAAATATGATCCACTGAATATTATTCACTTTCAGACATTACATTTTTACTGGGAAATATCTTACTATGTTTAAAAAGAAATTCTGTCTTAAATCTTTGGGGTAAATACACTTCATTTATATAGCACAAATACATACAAAACCACATGGCATTACAATAGATGTTTTTCTATTCACTGCACATTTGAAATGTCTCATATTCACACTTTCACAGGTTTGAATAATGTGCAAGTGCAGTGCAATCCGTGTTACACAAAACTGCAGCAATATAGATGTTCTTACCATTCAGAGTGCTTCCTTCAGGTCAGTCTTCAGATAGTGAGTGTGAGAGGATGATGATGATGATGATGATGGTAAGCAGTTAGCTCTCGTCTCACCCGAGTGTCTGACCCTGATCTGAACTCATAATAGAGTCTTTATACTTAAACGTCCAGACGCTGACCTTCTAGCAGTGCCCTCGTCTCTAAACCAGCTATAAATCCACCCAATTAGCAATCCAGTCTGACCAAAGGGGCTTAAAACAGATTAGCGCTGGTGTCTACAAGACTGGAGTCTGGTGCAGAGTTTTCTTAGATTATTTTACAAATAACATATTCAACATCTGATCATTTTTGGTAACCACTGCTAACTATTTCACAGGTTGTGTATAAAATTCTAGGAAAAGAAAAAAAGAGGTGTGCAAAAGTTGCTACGATGTTCTGAGTGGTTTCTAATATGTAGTCTGTCATTTTTATTGATTTATTGATTTATTCTCTTATCGTGAAAATCCTAAAATACAATCGATTAGAAAAATATTAGCACACCTCACATCTACAAGCCTTATGGGGTTTGTTCAGATCACTATGACCAGTAGTGTGTTATTTTAGTATCACTGAGATAGTATTATGATTTTATAAATATATATATATATAGTCTTTATATTATATTTTATATTATGTTTGTATTTTATATTTATTTATATATTATTTATATTTTTATTTTTTATATTTTTCATTTTACTTTTAATTTTAGTTCATGTTTTAGTAAGTTTGTTTTTGTCAATTTTAGTAAATATGTCCATATAGCTTTTATTAATTTAGTTTTCATTTTAGTTATTGTAGTACATCAAGTTAGACTAAGTTAAAACTAGTTGAAATAAATAAATAAATAAACATTTTTATAGTTTCTTTTCTTTCAGGTAAAATTGATTTAAATGCAAGTAACTAAAATTTGTTTTTTTTAATGTGTGAATTTTGTAAAGTTGTAAATAAATAAAGAGTATTAGAGTACATTTTACAAAAAATACTTCTTAGTCTTTCTACCTCAAAATTGCAGGCTGAATTCATGTGTTACTTGCCATATCTAATTTTCTCATTTTAATCTTCTAATTCAAAATTTCCTTTTGTAATTATTTGTAAAATTTACAAACCGTTTCTGAGTGAAAACTGTTTCAAAATAAATCGAACATCTTGTTTTATCCTATTAGATAATAACAAAAAAGTGGTTAATTTATTTGTAACATTCTAATTGTTCAAAATTCAGTTCAAACTAAACATGCAATACGACACAAATTAAGGCTCTTTGTGTTGTTGATGAAATGTTCCTATTTGGCATTTGTTGTATTTTTGTTAAGTTTGATTAATATTATGTGTGACACAAAATATAACAGAGTTATATAGTGTTGAACAAGTTATGCAACAAATTTTTATATTGAAGGACAGAGTTTATTCAAATCTCTCTGTATAGTCAATAGTTATAGTGATGCTTCCTTAGGAAAACATCACTCATGAGTGACTACATGTGCAGGTGCATTAGTAAAAGTCAATATCAGAAGTAAATTTAGGTTTACTAGCCGTCTGAAGAGCTAAAGCGATGCCATTACGAGACGTAGCTCATCTCAGACAGGCTTCAGTCATCAGAAAGCCTCATCAATATTTATTATGAGAAGTCGTCGCCCATTTAATAACTGTGGGAAAGAAGAGCAGCAGAACATGTGGAAGTTTGATGACAATCTTGAGCAGTTTTGACGGGCCGGTGGGTTTGCAGAACCTCACTCAGGAATACACTTCAAGCTGGGTGACAGACTTCACCGTACGCCTGCTGAGCCGTGACTAATTATGTGTGTGGCACACTCAAGACGAAACCGAGCCGAGAGAGACGCCGCAGCCGCTTCGTTTTCAATCCACGTCTGCTTATCACCATGCCCTTTCACATAAAAGTTGATTCTAATGTCATGCAAAAAGTTCTTATCTAAAGTAACTAGATGTTTGCAGAGGCAAGCATCACTATTGTGATTGCTCGTATGGTTAGTGATCTGAACAAATACTTTTTCAGTCTTTCTGCTTCAAAATTTCACATTTAATTCAATGCATTACATGCTGTTATAGATGCTTTATTCATTTATGAAATTTACAAGCAATTTATGGGGGTTTAAAATTTTTTCAGGGTAAATCCTAGACCATTTTTCAGTGTAAATATTAGATAACAGCAATTAAAAAAAATAGTTTAATGAAATTACTTAATGAAATGTTAATTGGTACTTGATGCACAAATTACTGGTTAGATTTTCAGCAAAACATGCAATAAGACACAATTCAATAATATTTCTCTTTAATTTTGTTGTATTTTTGTCAAGTTTGAATATTATTATGTTTGATACCAAATAAATTAGTTACAGTTTTACAATTTAACAGATTTTCATTTTTATAATTCATGTCCATAAAATGTTTTTCAGATTTCATGTCCATTTTCATTTTAGTTTAGCGTTAAAGTTTGTTTAAATTTTTTTTTTGTCATTTTTTTGTACATTCTTTTTTTAAAAATGTCTACATATTTTTCATTTTTATTTCAGGTTTAGTTATTCATTACATCAAATTAAAATAAATTAAAATGAGAAATGGTGCCTTGACAACTAGCTGAAATCATTTTTCAGATTCATGTCCACAAAATGCTTTTCCGATTCATGTCCAGTTTTTCCCCAGATTCCCATCCATATTTTTTTTTCAGATTCACATCCAGAAAATGTTTATCAGATTCACATCTATAAAATGCTTTTTTTTAGATT